TTCTAAAATATTCTGGAAGATTCAATGTGTGCTGAGCTTCCCTGCATGGTCCTTCTGGCTCCTGCCTGTAACTTCTGGGACTGCTGCAGCCCACGCTGCTCCCCCTCCAAAGCCCAGTCCTTAAAAATAGCTGATTCAAACGACACTTGCTGGGTTTTCCATTGATTCCAGAGCTGACTGGCATCATGGATAGGAGAGCATTTATTTTACTGCATGTAAATGCTTGAAAAAGCTAACTCTAGACAGAAAGAGATTTGGTTTTGCAACCGTTTTCTCTCGTGTGAGCAATGTTCAGTGTAATATGGGCCACGAGGCAGATAATTTAGCAGAAAAGGATAATTTTGGGATAATCTTGAATGAGATTGGCTCTTTTTTGTGATTCTGGAGTCTGTAGTTACACAGGGGTTGCCTGTATTGCTAACATGGCATCCCCTGGGCTCCCAGTGGAAGCGAGTGATGCTGTGAGGCTTCAATGCTGCCTGGAACAGGGAAGCTGAAAATACAAGATATTTCTGTGAGTTACCTTCTTGTACTACCATGCCTGTTGTGACTGGGGTTTTACACCGTATTTTCCACCTAACGGTTTTAAAAAGTATTTTCCAAAGTTATAATCTATGTGAAAGTCGATTTATCAATTCTAATTCTCCCTTTTTATCATATGTTCTACTGAAATGCATCTGTTGGCATAAAAGCCTGATCTACCTGAATAGCTGTAAAAAACCCCAGAATTTATGGCAGCAGCTTTCCTAAGGAGGCTGACACTGGCATAAATCTGGTAGGAAATGAGGTGTGCAGACCTCTGGAAAGGAGCTTTTCTGAAGGCTCAGTGCTGCTCATTGAAGTCATTCCAGCCACAGGAGCTTCCTTGGTCTGAGACTTTCATTTCTGAATTGATGAGACTTTCTGTGGCAATCTGTGCCACACAGGCAAACAGAAAGTGGAGTTGCTTTTCTTAAACATGTTAGAGACATTGACTCAAGCTGAATATTGCATCTGTTCAACAAGTCAGTGTGCTGAATTTCATATGGTGAGTCTTTAAATACACTCTCCACTTCATATTTCATTCCAGTGACTCATCCTACCAGCCTGAATTAGAATTAATTTACTGCAAACTGGTGCAGACCACAAAACTTTCTGGAGGAAAGTGACTGGGTTATATTTGCCTTTTGGGCATTTTTTGATTGATAGATAGAATGCAAGACAAAGACTAAAATCATGTATTTATATTATGTAATGTGAACTCAGGGGTGGGCTTGACATCTGCAAAGGGCTAAAATATTCATCAGAAATTATCTCATGGAAAACCAGGCATTGCTGAGGCCACATCAACACATTCCTCACTCTCCTGGTTTCTCAGCAAAAAGATAAAGTTCATTTTAAGTGCTCTTGCAGGTTTTTTTAGTGAGCTTTGTGCCTCTTCTGCTCCTTTTGGGAAGTTCTCCCAGGCTTTCCATCCATTAGGAATTTTATTTCTAGCCTGAGTGTGTCCAGTTTATATCCACTCATTTTATAAGCCAGAATTGCCTTATTTCAATTTAAAAGTTTTTCTCACTTTGTTGTGCTGCTCTTGGGCAGATGGATGGTGAGTGTCCATGTCCTCTTGCTCTCCATTTCAGTGGAATTAAAAGCAGAAGACCTTTTAGTCTTCCTGCCAAAATCACCTCTCCTTCCTTTGGATCTTCATAGTGAGCCTTGTTACTGGGGCGAATCCTTAAATTAGAACAAGACCTGGCAGAGTAGATAAGCTTTTGCAAGTTCATTAATTTTTCCAAAATTTTTTAGTAAGAAAAAGCCTGTCTCTCTAAAAATATCAGAGAAGGAGCAGCCCCTGCTTGGCAAGAGGAGCTTTCCCCTCTGAAGGAGACCACAGCTGTATGCAGACCCCAGTGCTGCTCTGCCAGGAATTGCTTGTCTGGAGCAGCTGCTCCCCAGGGATTTGTGGGGTCATGGTGCTCGGGGTGTGCTTGGTCCCTCAGCACAAAAAGGGGAAAAAGAGGCAAAAGAGAAGAGAGAAGTGTGGGAACAGAGCAGGGCATTGCGACACCATGCGAGTGTCACCCCTGAGCGGGATGGGAACCAGTTCTACCCCCGAGTCTGGGTTTAGCACCTCGAAAGCAGGGCTGGCAATCCATGACCTGCACACGTCCTTCTGTGCACACACCTCCATGGCTGGAGTCTGTTTGTTCTCCTGCAGCTCCCCAAGGCACAGTGCAGGGAAGCACATTCAGCCTTCCAAATATTTTATTTATATCCTGCTAGCCGTGAGTAAGTGCTTCCAGCCTTCTGCTTGTCATAAATCTGTTCATCACCTCCTTCTGTCAGCTCCTTACCAGAGCAGGACTTGTGCCAAAAGAAAGGATTTTCCATGGGCTTGGGTATTTGGGGAGCACAAATGATCTCCAGGCTGATGGTGTGTGTGTGACTTGGGGATTTTCTTGGGGCACAAAGCTGTGATGGGGTGGGACACACCTTATCCTGTTCATCAGCCCCACAATAACCACGTTTTGTGTCCCTGCTGAGTGGGGGCTCAGGAGCAAACAGGTTTTGCTGCCTCACTGCCCGTGACCAAAATAAAACTGGCTCTGGAAGGGAGAAGGAGGCCTGCCATGGAATGGGACAAACTAGGTCAGTGTTGTCAGGTGCATTCAGCTCTGCCTTGCCTTCACTTTAAAGAAAAGTAAAGAAGAAAAATAAATAAATAAATAAATGAAAGCCAGGAAACCCGCAGACAAAGCAGCAGTATTGCAGCCCTTTGTATTTTAGTCACCAGCATTGAGGCACCAACTCCCCTCAGCTGCCTCTTGGAGATGCTTTAGGGATGATCCACAGCTCATGATCTCCATGGGGGATGCTGAGCAAAGGAAAAATGATGGGAGAAAGCACATTGTTTTGACTGGGCTCTTTTGGGTTCTGGTCCTGCACCTCTGGGGTGGGTGTGTGCAGGTCTGGGCACTTAAATTTAGAATAACTCATCTCATCTTCTTCAGAAAGTGCTGCAGGGAAAGAGAGGCTGTGCAGGGAAAGAGAGGCCTCTGGGGGCCTATAAAAGGCAAAGCCATGGTGGGGCAAGTGCTGGTGTCTGCCAGGTCCTGGAGAGCCCAGGGAAGCTGGAACACGAGAGGAACAATCCCAGTTTGCTCTCAGTGAAGGGAGGTCTCAAAGGCTCCTCGAGGTCACTTCTGGGCAGCCCACGGGAACCCCTGAGCAGATGCTGACACCAAAGCCCTTCAGCCCTTGCTCCTGGCTTTGCTCAAGGTCTGTCTGAATGGAAATGAGGGATTTTCCTTCCCCTCCTTTCCCTGCCCCATGCTGATTTACACCCTGATTATTTTCCCCATGCCCTGATAACCAGGACTGTGGCACAGGACTGAGACTTCAAGGACAAACTGGAGCACAAAGCTCCCACCAAGGTGCTCAGCTGCTGTTCCCAGTTCCTGGCAGGGACAGGAGGAAGTTGCTCAGCCCCCACAGGAGGCTTTGGGTTTTCTCTGACGTGACCAGGCTGTCAGAGCAACTTCCAAACTTCTGCAGAGTTTGGGCAGGGAAATGTTTATTCCACTTTAATCAAGCAGAGGCAGAAGGTGCTGAGCAGGGCAGAATCAAGCTGCTGCTCTCTATTGTTTCCTACTGGCATTTGTTTCATTATTTTGAATTATTTAAATTACCAATTGCTATAATATATCTTTCCTCCTGCATGCACCAATTTAATACAGGCTTAAATTGTTATAAGAGGGGTTGAAGGTAGGCAGGAGGAAAGCTTCCTGCCAGCCAAAAAGATGATGTACTAGCCTTTGGCACGTTGAAGAGTCTCCATCCTGAGGGTAAAAAGAAAGTTTATTAAAAACAAAAATAAATGAAAATAATCTGTAACTAAAGAAACTCTGACCCTGGGGAATAGGAATGGGCTAAATGATCCATCTCAGTGCCAGCAGGCTGCTTTCTGTGATATTTGTAGGATGTTTTGTATTTTAAAGGAAGAAGTTGAAGCCAAATTGTGCAGATTGTTAAAAAATGTTAGCTGCTGTTTGTGGAAAAGCCTGTCCTGGAAAGGAGGGGAAGAGCTGATGGCTGAGGCAGCTGAATGCAAAAAAAGGAGTGGGGAATTTAACACTGAGCTGCACGAAAGAGCCACAACACGTTGTGCAAAGGTCTTGGGTGTCTGAAAATTGCCAAGGCCTGCCTTTTTCCCTCTCTTCTAGATATTAAAGAATGACTGTGTGCTGTTTGGTGGCAGCAGGGTGGGCTTGGGGATTGGGAATGAGTAATTCAGAATTCAGAGCATTGCCTCTGCTCTGCCACACAAACCCAAAGCCCCTCCTGCATCCTCAGCATCCTCCGTGGGTGGGAGGGTGAACAGCACACGGCATTTTGGGGGAATGTCCTGGGGTGACTTTGTGATGCCTGCATCCCCAATTGTCTGCTCTGTTGGTGTTGAATGTTGAGCTCTGCAGCTTTAGGCCTGGTTCCAGGAGTGAAGGGGGAGAGCAGAGGTGCAGAGTTTGTGATCACAGGCTGCCCTGGCAGAGCTCTCCTGTGCTCCTGGTTGATTTCTGGCCAGCTGAGGCAAAAAAGCTTCCTGTGCTTTTTTTTTCTCCTTTTTCTTGGAATTGTTCAAACCTGCTCTGGACTGAAAACCCAGAGGAGCACTGGGAGCTCACATCTGTGTCCCACCAGGCCTGGCCTGGGCTGGGACATTTCCCAGCTCTGGAGGGACTCAGAACAGACTGAGTGAGCTGGGCTGCAACTCACGGAAGAAACTTTTCTAAATTTGTCATCTCTTCAGAGTAGCGAAAAGTTTTATTTATTATTTATTTATTTATTATTGTTCATTTTTGTGCTACAAAGTGTTTTGCCTGTTAAATAAAGAAGTTTTTTTCCACTTCTGTCCGAAAAAATATTTCCCTAAACCAGTTGAAAAACCGCTTAAATCTGTTTCCTAGAAAAACCCAATTCAGAAATTTTCTCCCAAATTCTCCAAATTTAAAAGCTCTCTGAGGGATGTCCCCACACCCCGTGTACACCCCCAGAGCTGATGGGGTCCCCTGGCCGTGTGTTCCAGGCTGGTTTGGGGCCATGGCACAGCTGGAGCTCTGGGCAGCCGCGGCGCTGATGCTTCTGGGGGTGGCCGTCAGCCTCTGCATCAGGTGCCAGCTGTCCCCAGGTGAGTCCTGTCCCTGCTCCTGTCCCTGTGTCTGTCCCTGCCCCTTCCCCTGCCCCTTCTCCTGTCCCTGCTCCATCCCTTGCCCCTGTCCCTTCCCCTGCCCCTTCTCCTGTCCCTGCTCCATCCCTTGTCCCTGTCCCTTCCCCTGCTCCTGCCCCGGCCGGGATTTCTTCTCGGATTCTCCTCCCATGGGAACTCGGTTCTGCTCTGCTTCTGTGCCTGCTTTGCCCCTGTGGGGCTCTGCCAGAGAGCCAGGAGGGAAGGGGCACCCAAAACGACAGCACCCCTTCCCTCCCCGGGACAGGGGTGACATCCCTTCCCTCCCCGGGACAGGGGTGACATCCCTTCCCTCCCCGGGACACGGGTGACATCCCTTCCCTCCCCGGGACAGGGGTGACACTGTGGGCTGCAGGTCCCTCTCCCTGCTCATCCTGGTGGGTGGCTTGGGGACTCCCCCTGGCAGGACTCGCTCCAGTCACACCAATCCTGCCCAGGCTCTGGAGCAGAAGGGCAGGCAAGGAAGGGGAGCTGGAGGATGAATTTATACAGAGAGCAGGGTGAGCACCCAGCGGGGTTTGAGCCCCTCCCCGAGCACTGGCTGGGTTTTAATGGGGGAGAGGCTGCAGTTTGTGGTTTGGGGCAGGACTGGCTGCTTTGCTTTGTGGGGTTTGAGACAAAAAATACAATTTAAACAATTCAAATTCCATTTAAACAATTAAAATTCAAAAAAAAATCATCAAAACCCTACTGCTACTGCTGCTCACTGCCTCCGCTGTCCTAAGGTGCTGAAGAAATTTTGTGAATGTCCTTTATCGGCCTTTCTGATCTCTGACTCCCAACTCAACCTTTCTAAGAACTTTTTGTTCCCTTGTCTTCCAGCTACCAAACGGGAGACACAGCTGAATGAGCAGAGGAGCCAGTAAGTTGCTTTTCCAATCATCTTTCTCCCCCAAAGAACTCACCCAGGGTGAGCCCCAGAGCCAGAACTAAAAGATCTGAAATTTGGGTTTATAAGAAATAAATTAATGCCAGGATGGGATGCAAGGTAATGTGCCCCAGCCCAAGGTGCTGCTGAAGGGGCAATGCCTGTACAGAGAATAATCTGAAATGAAACTGAAGCTCTGACTGTGATGAATCATTAACTAGTTGGAAAAGGTCTGGGAGAGAAGGGCAAATTCTGATCCTGTTCTGTTGTGCCCTGAGATGAGCTAGAAAGGTTTTTTACTTCATAAAGAAGCCTCTGCCCTTGGCTGGTGTTGGTTGGACCAGAGCAACCACTGACCTGCAGCACAAGAAATGAAGGAAATGCAGTGTACTCCCCCTTATTTCCTTCAGCAACAGACAAACCACAGTAAATGATGTTAAAAAAAGAAAAGTTGAGTTGTAAAGTTTGCTAGAGGAGCAAACGAGGTGCAATGGGGCTCTGCAAAGGCGTCCAAGGATTGGGGTTTTGTTCCTGTGGGGAAAGGCTCTGGAATGATCCACTGCAGGCTGATGGAGCAGCCACTGAAGGCTCCATCCCTCACTTGCTGAATTGTCCCAGCTTCTTGAAATTTATACCTGGTTTGGGTTCGGGTTTGTGGTGTTGTGTGCTCTTTTCAGAGATCTGGTTTGGGTGTCTTGCAAGCTAAGTTTGACTCTATGTTTGGGTTTTTTGACAGCTCTCTCACCAGTCCATGAATCCCAGCTGGGTATGGGGCAACCCCAATGAAAAAGGGGGAAAAAGTTCCCAAAATTGGAATTAATAAGTACCTGTGTAGAAACACCTGCAGTAGAAAAGTTGTTGAATTCTCTCATACTCTGAAGAACAGTTCTCCTATTAACCTATGCCCAGTAACCTCTTTACTTTTCAGTTATCATTGATAATGTTATTTTATTCATGTTGATGTTAAGGGATGAGGCAGAGGCAGCAGTGGAGGTAAAGCTGTGGGGTTTGAAGCCATTTCATACATGAACATCCATTTCTTTGTGGGTAAAAAGGTTCTTGTGGCCTTTGGTGGCTGAAGCATCAGAATGGGAATTATCCTAAATGATGTTTTCCTCAATCCTGGATCCTTCCCTTGCTGACATTGGCTCTACCAGTGGTCCAGAACCACATCTTTTCTTTAAAGGATCAAAGAAGATGCTCCCAGGTCACACAGGCCCTGCATGACATGCTGAGTGATGCAGCTGGGCACCTCACAGAGCCCAGCACGCTGCTCTCTGCCCCTCCCTCACCTGTCAGGTCTCTTGTGTCTGTTTTCCTTGCCATAAACCCCAACATTCAGCTGAGCTTGTACTGCTGGTTTTTTCCAGGCTCGAAAGCCAGCAGAGATTTGAGGTGGTTCGATCCCATACCAGTGAGTATAAACATTGCCCGTGGCTCCTGCCCTGTGGTGTGAGGGCCCTGCATGCACACAACAGGGGAAGGAAATGCTCCAAGGGTCACCTTGAAGCCAGGCCATGAAATGATGAGACCTGGATTGTCCAAGTCACCTTAGATGCTTCTAGGTATGGCAATTCTGAGCTGCAGGAAGAAAATGCCCTTTGCATTGAAAATAATTCACTGTCATTGACAAGTGACACCTCAACTACTGGGGCTCTTGGAGCCATGCTGTGCACCAGTGAAAATGAAGGTGTGGGTGACAGGAGTGACTCACTCATCATCCCCTCACTGCTTCCTGCAGCAGGTTGGGCTCAGCACTGAACTTCTGAGCTTTATGTCACGAGGAGCAGCTGCCAGGTCTGTGTGAAATGTGTGTCTGCAGATGGCTCTGCCCTGCCCCACCACTCTGCTGGGTCCAACCCCTTAACCCCTCTCCAAGTCTTTCATCCCAGCCTGACCAAAGCCCTCAACTGCACCTTGCAGTGTGGAGGGAGGGGAATGGCCCCCAAACCAAGTGGGTTTGGGGGACAATAGGTGACAAGGCAGCAGCTGGCATTGCAGCTTCCTCCAGCGAGTGTTTGCAAGCTCTGTGATCTGCACCAGCTTTTTCTCTGGTTGTTTCTTGTTTTGAGCATTTTTGAACATTCAAGGAACAATTTGGAAGCTATTTTAGGATGCATTAGAAAAATGCTTGCCAGTCCCAGGGATTCCTCTCTGGTAGATGTTCTGTGCTGTTTGAAATATCTGCTGCTGCTATAATAATTAACACAGTAATTTTGTTGTTGTTGCCAGTTGCAACCCGAAGGCTGGAAAGTACTAAGGAACCTGAAAGCTTATCAATAGCAAGGTAGGAAAAAACCCAAATAAAATCTAGCTCTGGTGCCAAGATTGGATGAAGTTCACCCAACATACATGAACATTTGGGATTGCATTCTGGGCCCTATAGATGTGGTTTGGGCTGTAATTAGAATCAAAGAATAGTTTGGGTTGCAAGGGATCTTTCAAGGTCATACAGTCCAACCCCCTGGGGAGGAGCAGGGACATCTTCAACTTGATCAGGTTGCTTCATTTATTGATGGTCAATAGTGTGTTTAGACTTTTAATGGATTTTCTTCAGTCTGACTGCAATCTTCTGGCAACTGTTTAAATCAAACCCAGGAAAGTGAGCTGTGGCTGTACATAGTAGATACATCATGGAAAGAAATGGCCATTACTCACTTATGAGCAGTTTGATGTGATGAATCCCCTTCTCCCCATTACCAAAACCCCCAGTAACCACACAGCCATGATAACTCTGCTGCAATACTCAAGGACAGTTATTCCCTTTTGAGGATTTTACCCCAAATCCTTAATCTCCCCTTGCTCCATGTGTGTGCTTGATAACCTTGCAGGGAGGTTTCATGGATGGCCCTTCTGGTGGTGTGTAATTGCTCAGACCAGGGATTTTGGGTCTCTTTTCTGTCTTTCAGGAAAGCCACTGAAGAGCTCAGTGCCTCCCATCACAGTGATTATGGTGAGCAGCTTCCTGGGACAGGCACAGACACAGTGACCCACAGAGCAGCTGGAGCTGGAATGGACCTTAAAGATCATCTCCTTCCACCCCCTGCCATGGCAGGGACACCTTCCACTATCCCAGGTTTCTCCAGCCTGGTCTTGGACACTTTCAGGGATGGGGCAGCCTGTGCCAGGACCTCATCACCCCCACAAGGAAAAATCTCTTCCCAATATCCACCTAACCCTGTCCTCTGTCAGTGGGAAGCTATTTCCCCTTGTCCTCCCAATCCCAACCCTTGTCCAAAGTCCCTCTCCCCTTTAGAAGGGTCCCCAAAGCCTTCTCTTTTCCAGGATGAACAACCCCAACTTTCCCAGGCTGTCTCCAGAGCAGAGGGGCTCCAGTCCTTGGAGCATCTTTGTTCACTCCTCTGGACTTGTTCCAACAGGTCCATGTCCATCTTAATGTGGATCTATCCTGGGTCTGAGTTTAAAGCCCAGTGCTCATCCTGCTGTGGCTGACCAGTCCTGGTTAGAGCTACAGCACTCATTGTTTAAAATATCACCTCTGGCTGTCCCAATTCCTGTACCCTGGACTGTCCAACCTTGCAGCCCTGTCCCCTGACCTTAGAGCTGAGTGGGGGTAGAGCTGCTGGTGCTGAAATGCTTGGTGCCTCCATGGCCAAACTGCTCCCATCACTCCACTGCAGGTCATGTGTAATGTGTCCCTCTCTTGTCCCCAGGGAGCAGGGATGAGTCCAGGTACCAGAATTTCCTGACAGGTAAGTGCTGCAGCCAAATGTCTGTGGGTTTGGAAGGAAGGCTGCCGAGGGGATGGGAGCTGGCAGGGAGCACACAGGCAGCTGGCACTGCAGCTGGCAGAGCTCTGTCTCGGTCAATTTAGAGATTGCTTTGGAAGGCACACACTGATCTGATTAACGGGCAGAGGGGACGATGCTCGCAGCCCCTGCTCCCTCCCGGGGCAGTGTGAGCTGCCCTAAGAGGATTATTGGTGGCTGGGGCTGTGCCCTCCTTTCCCAAGGCAGGGACCATATTCCCCATCTCGCTGCCAGCTGGCAGGACGTGTCCATGAGAATTGGTGAGCCAGGGCTTTCTCAGGGCCTGGGGTGGATCAGGGCTACCTCCCTTGCTCCAGCCACCTGGCTCTGCTGTGGACAGGCTGTGGGGCTGTGCCAGGCCTTTGTGGCTGCTGGGGCTGTGCTGGTGCTGGGGGGTTTGTCCAGCTGTGCCCAGGGATGGCTGTCCAGGCTGATGCCATGGTGGGGTGCTGACAGCAAACCCTTGTTTTCTTGCAGAGAGCTGCCTGCAAGAAGAGAATGACTATGTGTAAGTACCCTGTGCTGCCCCCAGCACGGCTGGGTGGAACCATACTGGTCCCAGTGCTGGGCTGGTGTTCCATAGCTCAGCCTGGGGAGCCTGTGCTGGGCAGGAGGAGCTAACAGTGCTGCTCTAATCACAGGGAGCCCATCTCTCTGGATCACTACTACAACTGCACCCTGCTCTTCCAGCCACCCTGTGGTACTTCTCCAGGCAAGCAAGGTGGGTTCCTTCATCCAGCCTGGCTGTCCCATGGCTCCAGGGAGCTCATGAGACTGTTTTGCTGGTCTTTGCATCACTGTGTATGGCCTGAAGCAAGTGTGGGTCCAGGAGACAAATTCATTAAAAAGACGTAGCAGAGCTGTGGGATTTGAGGGATGTCCAAGCCCCCATCAGTCCATCTGTTGCCTATAGACAGAACAGACCAAAACCATTGGTGACTGTGCTCCTGTTACCACAAGGAGTGACCACTTGATGCCACTGTACTTGGATACTCCCTCACTTGGTCACCACAAGCCGTCACAAAGACTAAATTTTTTAGCTAATCTGCATTTCACTGTAGGAAACAGCCCCCTCTTGCAGGTGCTGAGGGATCTTCCCAGGTCATTTACACGTCCATAGGTCCTTTGTCACTCTTCTTTCTTCTCTCCATCAGAGAAAGATGATGATTCCTATTCCTATGAAAATGTCACTATTGGAGCATCTCGGGGCTCTGATCCAGGTAAGTGTGTTGCTGTCACAGTTCATGTGTCACACAAAGTGCAGAGAAGGATGGTGACCTGCTTAGCCAAGAGAAACCTGCTTGTTCACAGCTCAGCTCTTCCTACCAGCTCTGTGCCATGGAGCTGGTGTGCAGGGGCTGCTGCACACACAGAGCAGGCCTGGAACATTTCCCCTTTCCACAGGAAAATGCACATGATGATACCTCCACCCTGATGCCATTCACTTGGTGGTTTCTGCAGCAATTCAGGGGCTTTGGGGTCTGCATCTCTAGGTTTTTAATGTTGTTTATCCAGGATGATTATGGTTCTAGACCCTAGCTCAGGTTTCTCACCAAATCCAGCACAAGAAAGCTGCAGCCAGGAAGCTTCTGGAGGATGACACTGGACCAGTGTACCTTCAGGACTTTCAGCATCAGTCCTGGGATGTTGCAATCAAAATAGGAAGTCAGTTTGGTTTCCTTCTGTGAGTTAACACATGCCTTCTGCACTGCTAAAGCCTGCCCTGCTCCTGCCTGCCTTTGTGCAGAGTGATTAGAGGAGGCAGGAGCAGCAGGGACCTGTCTGATCCCCATCCGTGCCTGCAGATATCCAGGCACGTGGTCAGGGCTGAAAAAATGATGAGGCAGCATCAGCAGATCTGTGCTGGCTGGAAACTCAGCCACGTGCACAGCACAGTGGCAGGAGGGGGTTTCACAAAGGCCCTTTTTTGCTCCATTTGCTGTTCAGTATCATCCTGTCCAAACTCTTCCTTGTCACAGATGACACTGTAGACTACGAGAACAGCATGGCAATAAAAACATGGAAACTGCAGCAAGGACAAGGTATGTTCCCAGCTGTTATTTGCTGTTTGGGGATGGGGCTCATGAGCAGAGTGCCTGGTGCACTAGACCAGTATAGACCATGCAAGGGCAACACAGCCATCACCCTTGTTTTAATTTTTTCCCCAATTGTCCATGGTAAATATCCAAGGCAATGTGCAAATTGTGGCACACTCCTGTAACTGAATGCTGCTCTGTTGGGACGTGGTGTTTGTTGCACTCAAAGGCCACCATTTGGGTGGCTGTGCCTAAACCCTGACCATGGGGTGCTACAGGAAAACATTGCTCTTCAGATCTTCTGTCCTCTTACATTCGAGGTTGCTCCAGAGCAAGTGCAGCCGTGTGACCTCCTGTGACACAGAACTTTGTGCCCACACCCAGTGGCTCAGCCCTTGACTCTCCTGCTGTTGAAAGGGGGCCCATTTCTCAAGCTGACCCTTTTAACCACAGTTTAATTTAACTTGTGGCTTCCTGTGAGGCATGAGGGCAGTTCTGGCCTGGGGGATAGTGGGGAGTGTACACATATATATTTGAGAGCTTTGTGTCTCTGGTGTGAGAACTGTCTAAGCAAACTGATTCCTGTTTGCACACTCTAAATTAAACCTATTTTGGCTCTGAAGAGCCACCCAGAGTGTTTGCAAATTTCTTGTGATCATTTTGAAGCCTCTTCAAGGAGACCTTGACACCGATCTGAGTTTTCTTAGCCCAGGCACACAAACATGTCAGCACCAAAGGCTAAATATTGGCAGGATACATGGTGTCAGTGGTCTGTGTGCTTTTACATCAACCCACTCACTGATAAGTGCTTCCCATCCTCACCTACAGCCTCGCTGACAGAAAGCCTGGATGATGAGCCAGACTACATCAACACATGTCCTGTGTCACACCCTGCCCTGCTGTCAGAGCAAAGGTAGAAGCAAGAGTAAATGGCTGGTATGTTAATGTAGGGTGGAAGGATTTGGTTTATGGTGGTTATTTAGGGGTGGGAGGATTTGGTTTATGCCAAAGGGTGCTCAGCTGGAGCTCTGCCCTTGCTGGCAGCACCAGCACAGCAGCCCACACGGGCAGTGGAGGAGTGTGAGGAGCCCACCCTGTGCAGTGCCTCACCTCTGGCTGATACCAACCTGGCTAACACAGACCACGGAGACAGATTTGTCCATGTCCATGTCCCAGCTCCAGCAGTGCCCTCCTCCAACAGGCACAGGAACTCTGAACTGCTCTGGAGCAGCTTGAGACAGTGCTGCTGCCTGCAGTGGACAGGGACAGCCAGCACCCCCTGCTCTGAGCAGGATTCCCTCAGCTGAGCCCTGCCTGCTGTGCTAAGACCACATATCCTGCCCCATTATCAGCACCAACCTGATGCTGCTGATAAAGTATTACTCAAGCCAGATAAAGTAAAAAAACTGCAGAAAGCTGCAGGAAGGTTGCATAACAGTGAATGATGTGCTGGTTAGTGCTGGTCACCCTGCTCCAGACTGGACTCCATCTGGAAGATGGACTGGGACCAGTACTGCTCTCCTTTTTGGGTTTTTACTCTCTTGAGCACCTACAAAGACCCAGCGGGATTGTCCTTATGCCACGTGCCAGCTGCTCTAGCTTTATAGGGTTTTATATTCCCCAGACTGTAGGCACCAGCAGTGGGCAGACCCACAAAACAGGATCTTTCTGAAGCCATGCAGAATACTTAAGATTTGTCCCCACCATGCAAAGCACAGTCACCCTATTCAGCACACTAGGGCATTTGCTTCTGTCAGGTGTAGCTGGACATGGAAAAACCCAGCCTGAGAAACCTGACCCTGCCATATCTTGCTGGAAGGCATCTTTTTGCCATTATAATGATGCCTCCGTTGCAGCCTTTGCTACAGAGTAATATTCTGAAATCTCAATGTCCAACCAACAAATGTTGGCAGAAGTTCTCCACCAAGGGAGGCTGAATTGAGAAATGGGTTCTGATGCCTGTGTGCCTCCTGCTCTGATCAGGGATCACCCTCCAGGAGCACAACTGCTTAGACATGGACATTTTGTAGTGTATGTCACTATTTGTCCCTGGAAAGAAAATGTAGCAGGCAGCAGAGTTATGTTGAAAGCAGGGACTAAAAGTCAGTGGACTCACTGTTTTTTCTCCTCTTATTTCAAGTATTCTGCATAAAGTCTGAAGAAATCTTTTGCTGAGCTGTAAGAGTGCACCCAGTGAACATGCACACAGGGAGAGGGGAAGAGTTCCACCCCTCAGTGAAATCTCTTCTCCAAACTGTTCCTGCAATGATGTAGAAGGGGTGTTACTGAAAGGAAGAAATGCACTGCTTGAAGCCCTACAGAAGTCCAACTGAAAACCAGCAACTGGAGAAAGCACTCTGCCCCCAGCGACCACGGGCAAGCCCCAGGCTCCTCATCCCAATCTCATTTCCCTGCATGTCCACTCCAAGATGGCCAGGCTGGGCAATGCTTTCTCCTGACAGCCATGAAATGAGTCCTTAACTTGCTGAGCAGTAATGCACACAGCTACTTAATTTGTCAGGGTGACTCATGCACGGTGGTATTAAGCCATAGGGATTACGTTCTGGTTTAGTTCCTGTGCTCTCCTATAGGAGCAGTTTCCTATGTGAGAGGAACTGGCAAGGCAGAGGTGTTTATAACAGCAGTGGCTGTCTGGAGCTGAATGAGATTCCAACCTGTTCACAAAAGCTAAAGAGGATTAAATGCCTGCCTTATCCATGGCTTGTAATTCACAGTGCTGGTCTATGGCAGTTTTCCTCATGTTTCAGTATCTGTTTTATAATGACACAAAGAATCAGCAGCAACTGTGAGTCAGATCCACAGACACCAGCCTCAGAAACTGAACCAGTCCCTCAATATGACTGTTGGAACATCATCCCAGGAACAGAATCCCTATCTCCTGAGCCCTGATGCACAGATCTGGCACTTCTGGAACACTTATTTATTAAAACTGAAAGCTTCCAAAGACAATGAGGTGTTTTGCTATGGTTTGCAATACAGATGTCTGCATGCTCAGGTGACACAGAAATGGGAGGACATGAGGTTACATGGAATGATGTGCAGGATCTTATGGGGAGAAAATGCATTAAAAGCCTTCTTCCTCAAATTCAGATCAGAAAACTGTTTCAGGAAAGAACACAGCCCACACTCATGGTGAGTGAGCAGGGAAGGGGAGCTCAGGGTTAGAGAGACATGGAGAGAGAGAAGGGATGTCAGGTGCTTCCTGCCGCAAATGACTAATTTTAGCAGAATCACCAAGACAAACCACAGGTGCCCACCCTTGGAGTAGCTGAAACAGTGGGTGGGTTGGAGTCTGGCTCAGAAGGTTTGCTAGTGGTTCCTACAAATGCTACAAGTTTCCACAGGACTTTTACAACAGAGAAAATCTAGTGCCCTTCAGGGATGCACACAGACAGGGAGCTACAGCCTGGTTTTCTGCTCACCCCAGCCCAGCTTCTCTTCACACCCTAAGGTTTCCTTATGTTCAAATGCTCTGCAAAAAGTCTGCACAGGTGCATGGCAGCAGAGTCCCCGTGAGGCAGAAGCACACACAGTGCTGTCTCTGCACAGGCTCCCAGGCAGGCAAGGGCTGCTTTTGTCACTGAAATTTTTGTGCCTGTACCTCCCAGGGCTATGAGACCCTTGGGATTCATCCTCAGCACCTGAAGAAGCTCCCACTTTCCATCAAGTGCTGCAGATTGTGGATTGTTCACTGCAAGGGTGAGCTCGTTCTGAGTGGTGTCTGGTGATGTTATCCACTGGTGATTCATCTCCCAACCAAGGGAGCCATTCATGAATAGGAGATTAGCAGCAGTGACAGATCCTTGGCACACAGCAACAGATCCAGCTGGAGACCTCCCAGAAAGTTCTAGGCATTAGGTCAGTGCATGGTCAGAACATGAAAATACAAGATTTACTGCTCCCCTCACTAAGCAGAGAGGCAGACTACACTAGTTAGATTTTCTTGGTACCAGGTTCCTCCATTGCCAAAGTCTGAGTTTGAAAGTTGTGTAGCCAAAGCAGGCAGGGTAGAACTGGATGTGGAGAATCTTCCCTTCACTTCTTGGGGTCTGAGCAAATCCCCCTTTGCAGCTCTCAGAGCAGTCAGCTGTAGTGAGGGGTAAATCCTCAGCTTTGTAAAGCTTCTGGAGCACTTCTCAGCCAGTCATCCCATTACACTGGAAGGTATCCAGGGACTGTTTCAGAACTCTCATCAATGTCTGCTATTAGTCTTGCTCTGAACAACCTCATGGTTTTCCTTTGCAATGAGTGAGTACAGATGTGTGTGCTCACTGACACTGTCCTTTCAGGACTGGCTTTAGGTGTGCAAGGATTTCTGGTCCTCAACCAGAATTGCTAGACACTGCTGTTTGAACCTAATGCAAGAAGACTTACATCTCCTCTGGGTCATCTCTCTCTCTTCACATTAGGTAGGCAGTCAAGTGAGAAATTCACTTCCTGTTTTCAATTTAAGAAGCTTTAGAAAAGTAGTTCTGGCTGGTGCAGCTCTGAAGATGGAGCTGAGGAGTCTGTGCTAAGTGCTGGAAAGCAGCAGCTCTGCACACAGAGGGGGAACAAATGCCTTTGGAGAGCAGGTGTTGGTGGCCTCGGGGATCAATACTAGTCCCTTCTTAGGAAAATGGAGTGTGATTATGTCCCTGAAGAGCTGGAAAGGATTAGCCCAGAGGAGAGTCTGCTCCAAACTGGAGCTGTGAAATGCAGCTACTAAATATAGTTGAGAAGAAACTGAAATCAGGTAGGAACAGGAACCATGACCCTCCACGTTCCTCACCCTTCCACTGGCACCATCCCTGCGGGCAGGCACATCCCACAAGGTAAGGACTGGCCTTGAGTCATCCAAATATGGTGTTTGCTGGTTTATGAAACATCCATGGGAACACCTCTTCCTTCTCCATTCAGCAATGAACACATTTAATGAGAAAGCAAAGACAGAGTAGGCTGGCTGTGATGTGCAATTAAAGAAAAATTTACCTTATTTAAACTTTTAGGGACAAAAGCTGTGATGCTGTGTCTGTAGAGAACTCATCAGCTCAAGCTCCAGTATTAAACTATTAGTTGTGTATTTAATAGAGTTTGTGATGATAGTAACTCACTGGCTGGCAACCAAAGCCTAAGTTCAATACATATCTAGTGAACAAAGAATGTACTTTGAGCATTACATCTATTATTCCAAGCACTGTTTGCTGCATTCCCTGCACTTTAGCTGCCACTTCCCTTGCTCTCCCGCACACTGAATCACAAGTTTGTCTGCAGGCTCTGCCAGAGAAGCTGTAGGAAGATTTGAGGGGAAAGTGAGGATGCCATCAGCTCTTGCTGCTGAAACTTGTGACCCCTTTGGCTTGTCAGAGAACAGGAGTGTGTGCCCTGCCTCAGTGCAGGACCAGTCCCCAGGCTGAAGCCAACTAGTGCTGCCAGGAAACATCCATTTGGCACCAAGACAGCTGCAGTGGGGAGCTGAACACTTGGGGTGGAAATCATCAACAAAATGGGCAGAGTGAAGTGCAAGCACCAGCAACTTCTGCCTCTGCACTCTTTTGTGTGACTGCTGTAACCAGACCATGCTTAATTGCAAGGCTTTTGACACTGTCTCCCACAGCATAATCCTGGAAAATCTGCAGCCCCTGGCTTGGACAGGAGCACTCTTTGCTGGGTTAAGAGCTGGTTGGATGGCTGGGCCCAAGCAGTGAATGGTGAGTGGTGCTGCATCCAGCTGGGGCCAGTGACCAGTGGTGTCCCTCAGGGTCTGTGCTGGGGCCAGTCCTGTTCAACATTTTTATTGATGACATGGATGAAGGTATTGAGTCTTTCATTAGCAGATTTGCAGGTGACAGGAGGCTGGGAGTGTGTGTCCATCTGCTGGAAGGTAGGAGGGCTCTGCAGAGACACCTGCAATGGTTGATGGATGGGCAGAGTCCCATGGGATGAAGTTTAGGTGCCGAGTCCTGCACTTTGGCCACAACGACTCCCTGCAGTGCCACAGGCTGGGACAGAGTGCCAGGCACAAAGGGACCTGGGGGCACTGAACATGAGGCAGCAGTGTGCCCTGGTGGCCAGGAAGGCCAGGAATAGCGTGGCCAGCAGGAGCAGGGAGGTCATTCTTGCCCTGGACTCAGCACTGGTGAGGCCACACCTCGAGTGCTGTGCCCAGTTCTGGCCCCTCCGTTTAGGGAGGACCTTGAGATGCTCCAGCGAGGCTGGGGAGGGGCTTGGAACACAAACCCTGTGAGGAAGGGCTGGGGGAGCTGGGGGTGTTCAGCCTGGAAAAAGGAAGGGTCAGGGGAGACCTTGTCCCTCTCTGCAACTCCCTGAGAGGTGGCTGTGGTCAGTGGGGGTCAGTTCTTCTCCCAGGCAGCCACTGACAGAATGAGAGGACACAGCCTTGAGCTGCACCAGGGGAAGTTTAGGTTGGGGTTTAGGAAAAAGTTTTTTACAGAAAGTGTGATAAAGTATTGGAATTGTCTGCCCAGGGAGGTGGTAGAGTCACCATCCCTGGATGTGTTTAAAAAAAGACTGGATGTGGCACTCAGTGCCATGGTTTAGCTGAGGTGTTAGGGCATGGGTTGGACTTGATGATCTTAAAGGTGTCTTCTAGCCTGATGATTCTGTTAATATAATTAAGCTGTATCTGCTTGGAGACACAAGTCTCACATCTCATATCAGGTGGTCAAAATCCATTTATATTTACTTTCTCTCTGCATTTCATACTTAATTGCCCATCTAGACTGGCAAGATGTTACCAAAACTGGACAGGCAGATATGATTCTGTAGCTTTTTGGCTGGCTGAAACTAAGACATTACTGAACCTAGGCAAGCAGTGACCTCAAATGTAGAGCATCCCAGAATTTAATAAAGTTTTTTAAAGATTACAAAAGAAATATCCAAAATATAGTGGCACCATTAAGAAATGTGTAATATTTCTCTTGTATGTTTGGTGAAAATACCTTCCCTATCCACAGGACAAAACAGCACTTGCTCAATGTGTCTCAATTATAACTCCAGTAAATGCTGTATTTTGTGCAAAAAAAATTCCTTCTTGGTCTTGGTAAGATCACCCATGACCTAAGTGTAATCCCTAACAACAGGATTCCATTTTTGTTTCTCCTGCTTAGGTCTCAATACCATGGACATAAGCAGTTTTGCTGAGTGCACTGGACAGACCTTAATTGCTCTGGACTGTCACAGTCCTATCCTGGTTATAAAACACATACCATTTCGTGGGTTAAAATAAATTTTAGAGCTTTATTGGTCTAAATAAAAAAGTATGAAACATTTTTGCAACAAAACCTGGTTTCCTCCCAGCAGGCTTGAGGAGGTGCCTAACTGGCTGCAGGGGCTGCAGTCTTCTGGCACAGCCGTGCCAGCAGCCCAGCCATTTGTAAAAGGGAGTTCACACCTTCTGCAATCTTCATGTGAGTGTACCCAATTTCCTGGTGACAGAGACATTGTCAAGTGTTCTGCTTACTCCCCTAGTCTGTGTATATTTTACTAATGACTAAACAGAACATATCCCTTACTGCTAAAAGACCAGCTTTGAGTCACTCGTTCTTCAGACAATGTATCCACTCCTATAAACCAACTAAAATGCCTTTTGTTTTTAAAACCAAACCCTGTATTTCCCCACTTCCTTTATAAGAAGCAAGGGGCCTGCATATGAGGACAGGTTTTAAATATGAAGAGTAATTCCACATCATCAGCTTACTGTTTGTCAACTCTCTGTTCATTTAATTTAAATTATTTTACTATCTATTGGACTAGAATCAAGTATACACTTGAAAAACATTTTCAAGGAGTTATTTGAGGCTTTGATATAACTAATAAATTCAGCATTACATCTGCTATAAATTTTAGCTGATCGTTAAAGTGACTTCTGGCACTTCTGTGGGTGTTCAGATGCTGAACTTCAAGTGACTTCTCACTGACAAACTGATGATGCAGTGGGAAATAAAGCAGTAATGAGTCAAGGAGCACTTTCTTTGTGCTAATATACAACAAATTGTAAATTGAAACCTCTGAGTCTGCCTCTGATCACATCCTCTTCTTTAAAAGGCCCAAAAGGTGCCATCAGGAACTGAGTTAGTACTAACCTTGATAAATTCCAGTTTCAGATATTCTGGCATTTGAAAGGTCTTACACACACGGAAGATATTGCCAATGACATCTTCTGGAGAGTATCCCAGGCGCCACAGGTGGGCAAGAATCTGTGCAGGCAAAAATAATCCTCCATTGATTTGCCAGATGAGTCAAGGATATTCACTTTTGGAACAGCTGTATATAATTACTAAAACTGCATGTACTATTTATCAGCTGATTTAACCTCAAACATCTAGCAATTAATTTCACTACAACTTCCTTTTTTGCTTATTGCCTTATTTATCTGAACAAACTCCTGCCCAAAAGGAGTTTAATTTATCAACTCATCTACCTAGTATTGACCTTATCTTAAAGAACAACACACATTGTGAATTCCTCAAAGCAAACAAAACATTTTGTAGAGAAATAATGCCTGACACATAATAATACTGACACAAGACATGAAAACCAACCTTGTATGCTTCATCAATATTTGCATTTACACAGTGTTGTATCATTTCCTTCACAAGCAGAGGATGAGGCTCGTCACATACCTGTATCCAAGAGAAATATTACACTTAATATATCAGAAAGCTTTGCATTAAACTTATGGTATTTTCACCAAGCTTCTATGGAGTGGAATCAGAAATATTCCATGATACAGACT